CTTGTGTCGCTAAAGTTTCGTCGGAACGAATTTACGGAAAATTAACTAACGAACGGAGACGTAACAATATATTGAGTCTTTGTTTTGTTTCATGTGCTGAGTCCTAGAGAATGTGTAGTCCAGTATGGGTGATTTTTCTGTGGATTTTTGTTTTGAATTGTCTATCGGTTTTTGTGATCGTGAGGTTGAAAAATGTTATTTGTTTAGTTTTTTCGTACTCACAGGTGAACTTAATGTTGGGGTGTATGGAGTTAGACGGGTTGAAAAAACTAAGTGTGTGTTCTGTTGATGTAAATCCAGCACATGTATCGTCAACGTATCTGTACCAATATAGTGGTGGGTGTAAGGCTGAATTGATTGATAGACATTCAATTTGTGTCATGGAAATGTTGGTTAGAATTGGTGACACAGGATTGCCCATACTTAAGCCATTTACTTGTATGTAATTTTGGTTGTTGAACATGAAGTTTTGGTGGTAGTGAATTCTAGAATAGTTGCTAGTAGATTGCTATTGTTTAATGGGTTGGGGTCTTAAATATAAAGTTATAAAGCTGTCTTGCAGGCTTCAGTAGTTTGGACTTCAGTGAAAAAGGATATTACATCAAAACTGGCCATTAAGGCTTTATGGTTTAGTTGATCCAGAATAGATTTAAAGTTAAAAGAGTCCTTAAAAAAATGATCCTGCTGATGTTACATATGTAGAAAATGACCATGCTGTGTATTTACCAAGTTGTAGTTAAACGATTTACATGTCTACATTGTGGGTCGTGGTGGACAATCGGGTTTGTGATCCTGCTGATGTTACATACGTAGAAAATGACCACGCTGTGTATTTACCAAGGTTGTAGTTAAACTATTTATATGTCTACATTATGGGTCATGGTGGACAATCGAGTTTGTGAGGCTTAGTGGTGCCTTACAGTTGTGGTGTGCAGGAGTCGGTCTCATGTAGGTAGGAATAAGGGTTCTGAGATTGCGTTGTTTTTTTTTTAATTGTAATAGCTTTTTGTTTAGTTGTTTTTCACGTGTTTTTGTTGGATTTGTGGGGATTGACCTAAATTTGTTTGTATCTGATAGGATGTCATTCATTTTTTGAATTTACTCACTTGTGTTCATTATTACAATGGCATTGTCTTTATCTGCTTTTAAAATTTGGATGTGGGGGTGTTGTTTATAGAATTAATATCTTTCTGTGTAAGGTTGTTTTTAAACTTTCTTTCTGTGAAATTATGTTGGTGGTTTTGTGTGTGAATTCTTTGAAAAAATTGTTTAAAATACTGTTTTGAGGTGTTTCGGGGAAACAGATGTTTTCAGTTTTCGAAAACTATATTAAAACTTCAATGGTAAAATAATTTTACAACATCGGGGGTCACGTGACCCTAGTATCACGCCACAAGCTTCTCGAACGTTCACGTCCCTTCCTGAAATATCGGGCGTTTACTAGATATGGGGAAGTCTTGTGTATATAAGACGGTCACAACGTGACGGCAACAATAATAAGTAATTGAACTGCGGACAGAGAGAATATTGTTGAGCACGTGAGAAGTTCGTTGTGAATTATAGCGTTTGTTATAGAGCGACTGTTGAAATTAAGTGTATCGCAAAATTGTATTCAGAAAGAATAAACCAGTTTTATTTAAGAAAGGACTTGTATCGGTAAAGTTTCTTCGGTAAGAATATTTACGGAAAATTAACGAACGAAGGGAGACGTTACAATAATTATCACAAAGTATGTTATTGTAGAACGGATTGGATAACAGTAATATTGATTATTAAAGTATATTACAGCGGAATATTTGGAGGTGTTTTTCTGCTACTTTGTTTGATGTGTTACTGCTGCAATACCAAAAGCCACGACGACCAGCTAGTGGCCAGAAATGGCGAAACAACAAACCGCTCAAACATTCAGGACGAAAATCAGCAGGTACGTATTAAATAATACCTGTTTTTCACGTTGGTGAACCTGAAGATTTTCTAGAAGAACGTTATATAATGCAAGCGTTTATTATACTAGTTTACAAAATCATCTAGAGTTTTTTTCGTGGGACTAGCCTTAGTAAAGGGATTTCGAGTTCATAAGATTATTTTTCTTTTGTAGCATATTTATTTATATTACCTGAAAATGGTTCTCACGTACACGAGTGTTTATAAGTTTTGATTGTCAATAATTAATCCTATTTACACTTAGATGAATGAGCATTTATCCAGGTAAGTATGATTGAACCTTCTTTTTTTTTTACTACTTCACAATCTGGAGTTATTTCAAATTTTATAATTACACTTTACACGTATTTCTTTAGGTTAATTGACTTGTTACATGTCAAGGTTCTTTGGCACACACACACACACACAAGGCACATTTTATTTTTTATCTGTCTGTCTGGCGTCAGAAGTTGTTGTGAGGAACTGGCTATTTTGAAGAAACACAGGTGGGACACCACAAATGGATCAAGTAAAAACCTGTAAGTATTCGGACAGATGTACGATACCCTATAACCCCACTGACAATCAACCAATTTTCAAAGAAATGTCCTCTTGGACAACTCCACCGAATAGAGAACCACATTTAAAGAGTTATATTAAAGTTGTAGGAAATGACATAATACAAACCTTAAAATCTACCAAGCAATGTCACAATAATCTAAACTAAAAAGAGAGAATTGTTCTAAAAGATCTTATATCAAATACATTATAATAAAACCTGGGCTCGACTCGCAATCTGAGGGTCGTGGGTTCGAATCCCCGTCCCACCAAACATGCTCGCCCTTTCAGCCGTGGGGACGCTATAATGTTACGTTCAATCCCACTATTCG